TGTGCAAGCCCGGTGCTCGCTCAGCATGGTGGCGGGGCCGGCTGAACAGCACTGCCTTTGTCCTCGGCAGCAGGTGAAGCAAAGCGGCTTCCCCAGGCTCCCCCTGCAAGCGCGGGCGCCCGCGCTGGAATCTGCCGGGGGGGACCGGGGTGGGCCAGGCCTCGCCACCGGCTCTAGAGCTTTGCAGAACGAAAGCGTCATCATCCCACCCCATTGCAACAGCTCAGTGGCCACACACGCAGCCACGCACCTGTGCGCCTGGGGGCACAAAGGAAAGGAGTGCCCGCACCCACATCCCAGCTGCTGGTCTGGGAATGTGTGCATGGGCATGGGTGTCTGCAGGGCCAGCTGGGATACCCCAGGGCAGGGGCTCAGGGCTGCATGAGCCGGGTACCTCGGAGCCATGGGTCACAGGCCCAGGGTACCGAGTGGGACAGAGACCGCCCCTGTTGAAGCTCAGGTGAGAAAGGGCTGGGTGCATGATCCCACCTGGGCTGGGCTCTGCCCACTCCCCACCACACCTGGCAGGAGGGTTGCAGGCAGCTCCAGGTAAGTGGCAGCACCAGGGGCAAGGGGCAGGCTGCCACGCTGAGCAAAGAAGGTCCCTCCAGGCCAGGGGATTCTCCAGCAGCCAAGCTGCGCTGGTGCAAACACGGAGGCTGATGTGGGGGCCTGGCCTCACGGCAGAAAGGAAGAAACCAGCTGCCAGCAGAGCAGCTCCCTGCCATGGGCAGAGGGGACCCCTGGACAGCTGAGGACGTGTGGAGGTGGGTGCCGTGGCTGTGTCTGCGCCATTCCTATGCCAGCTGCAGCTGGAGGAGCCTTGGACCTCCCCTGCCCGAGGGACCATGTCCACGCCGGTCACTCCTACCCGAGCCAAGGGGAGGCTCTGGCAGATCTGCCTCGTACCAGGGCAGGCTGGTTGGGAAGCACTGGCCTGTGCTGGCTTCACAGTGGATGAGCACCGGGGTTGGGGGGTGGCAGGCAGGTGTGCGCTGGCCCACAGTGCTGAGTGGGTTGCACAGCCCCTGCCCAGAGCACTGCTCCCCTGCCCCGAGCTGTCTGCTATGAGGCTGATGGGAAGATAGAGCAGGAGGAGGTTATCACCCCCTGAAAGCCTGGAGCTGCGGCGGGCAACGGCTCAGCAATTCCTGCATCCAGACAAATGCTGAGGGTTGTGGTGGGGGAGCCCTGGGGTGGGGGTGCAGCAGGTGCTGAGTGCTGTGCAGCTGGGGCTCAGGCCCAGGGAGCTGCAGCCCCCACAGCAAGGCTAAAACCAGGTCCCCCAGCCGCAGCAGCCTGCCAGGCCAAGGGCCCCACACGCCAGCTGCTCCCAGCCCAGGTTGTCCTTCCTCCTGCAGCGCAGAGGGCGGGTGTCACCTTACCACTCCACAAACAGCTGCTGTGAAAGAAGCCCTGTGTGCCCGTGCGAGAAGGGGCAGGCTCTAAGGTTTGCCAGGGCTGGAAATCTCTCTGTCATCTCCCTGCCAGGGCCGGGCTTCCAAATCCTGGGATGGGGCCCACGCTCCCAGCAGGACCGAGCCCAGACCAAGACAGGGTGAGCAGAGCAGGCAGGGGTAGTGCAGAACCCAGGCCAACATGTCTCAGTATCTATGGCAGGGGGACAGGGTAAGTGATCCAGTCCCTACCAGGCCCACGGCTTGGAGCTGAGAGCTTGGTCGGTGCAGGGCAACCACCAGTGCCTGGCCTGTGCTCAGCACAGGGGGAAGGAGCCGGCCAAGGCTGCCCCAGAGCAGCTCAGGCAGGGACTAAGCTGCACCCAGCAGGCTGCCCTTGTGTGCCTGGCCCCACTGCCCATTGCTCTTGGTGAAGTGGAGGGGAGAAAAGGGCCAGGACAGAGCAAAAACTACTGCTAGACCAGAGATGATTTGGGGGCGAAGGCTGCAGCAGCAGACCCAGGGGCCTGTGCAGCTGGGGCCCCAGGGCCGGAGCACCCTGCTGGTGGAAGTAGCTGCCTGACACTGGTGCCAAGGCAGAGCCACAGGCTGCAATACAGCTAGGGTGGAAGCTCAGCCATGCCCCAGAGTCTGCAGCCAGCCCCGGAGCTGCACATGGAAGCTGACCACAGCCCGCAGCCAAGCATCCAACCCAGCAGCATCCCTTTCTCCTGCAGGCCAGGGTGCCAGCTACAGCTACGGGTGCAACACGCACGGGTGCAACATCCCAGTGTCAGCCCATGCCTGGAGCCTGGCCCTGGCCACAGCACCTGCAAGCTGCCACCTGCTGGCACAAGGGACGCAGGACCGTTGAAGCTGGTTGCAGGGGCGAGGACGACACTGCTGTTGATGCCTTTATTCCATCCAGCAGACGCAACCAGGAACTTGAGGGGGCCTGGAGCTCCCAGCCTCAGCTCCAGGCTGTCACCAAGAGACCAGCTCCCAGGGCATCACTTCTCCACCAGCTGGTTCCCATGCCCCAGTAGTGATAGACCCCTGGCAGGACCAGCTCCCAGCAGGAGACAGGCAGTGAGGGTCCCACTGGCCAGCTCGGCACGGGTATGGGGGGCTCTAGTCATTGCTGAGCTCAGCTCTGTGCCCAGATGTCCCTTAGCTTCCCCTCAAACAAGCGGCTGCTGCTGCCACCCAGCTCCAGGCTGCAAGGAACAAGCAAACTCAGGGCCACAGTGACCCCCCGTTTTGCCCCCTTTAGTCCCCTCCCAGCTCTGTCTGAGACAGTGGAGCCCCAGGGCTCATAGCAGGCTCTTCCGTGTGCCCTTGCCAGGGTGGCTGGGAGATGGCTCCAGCTGCTGCTGCTTGAGTTTCTTCATGTGCCGGTAAGCCAAAACGACCCTCTCCCTCTCCTCCTCCAAGATGCGCTGGCGTGCCAGGGACATAGGGGCAGGTTTGGATGCAGGGGGCACGTGCCCAGGGCCCAGCAGAGATGTCAGCAGGAGCTGCTTTTGACCGGCCTGTAGGGAAGATTAGCCAGGACTTAAGGCCCATTAAGAGATAACAGGTTTGAGTCTGCAGGGACAGACCCTGGCTATTAAGACACCAGGAACCCAGTCACCCAGGGCAGGGGCATCCCAATCCCCACAGCAAGCAGGTGACCCCAAAACCCAGAAGGGATGTGGCAGCCTCCTGCCTTGTAGCTCCTGCCTGGAGGCCTGACTTGGGGTAGCAGGGAGGGGGTTGCAGGCTGGGGTAGCAGGGCAGGACCAAGAAGTATCAACAGTCAGGAGTCAGAGAACTGCAGGTTGGTACCGAGGGTCCCGACCAAGCTGGGCTGCAAAGTCAGTTCACCTTGTCCGTGCTCTTCCGGGGCCTGGCTGTGAGCACCGGGGGCTGCAGAGCCACCTCCCCAAACTTCACAGGGTCTGTGGGGCAGAAGGCAGGTGTCACTCGAAGTATCAAACAGCCAGAGCTCCCATCCCCTCACTCCCACCCAGCACCGCAGCACTGGTGATCCTTGCCCCAAAGCCCCGTAGCGCCTGAGCACCTACAGCACTGGCTTCCCTCCATGCTGAAATGCAGCCGCTTCTCAGGGAGAAGCCAGGACCCTGCATCCATGGGGACCAGCATGAGAATATGGGGCCCAGTTCCCTTCCCTGCCTGACCCACCCCAGCTGCCCAGACCACACCAGCCTGGCGCTAGCTACCTTGGAGCAGGGCCCGCTCCAGCATCACTGCTTTCTTCTCTGCTTTCTTCTTCCGAACTTTATCCAGCCTCTTGTTCCAGAACCTGTGGGCACAGGGGGAGGCAGAGCCAGGTCAGAATTAGCGATGCTTGGTGCTCTGCCCCCCGCAGCCCGGTCTTGTTGCTGCCCCCCGGGTGAGGTGCTGCTGGGTTTTAGTGCCCAGGAGAGCTGGTTCCCAGCAGGGGAGGGGGCTCAGCACTGCAGCGGGGGCCCAGCTGGCCCATGGCTGGTTCTGGGAACGGTGGGCTGGGCCAGGGTGCTGGGTGCAGACTTGGGAGGCTGCCCCAGGGTAGGGGAAAGCAAGGCGATTTGGCCCCTTGGCAACCAGCTGCTTTTATCCTTCCCTTTCCATGCTCCAGGATGCAAAAGAGTTAGTATACAACCCCCTGCCTCCCGGGGTGACGGCCCAGAGCCAGCACATGGTCCCTGCCGCAAGGGACAGTACGTCATCCTGGGGCAGACCCGCCCCGCCGGCCCCCAGCCCTTGCCCGGGCGGCGAGCGGTGTCGGACATACTCCTTCTTCCGGGCAGACTTCTCCGGGGCCGGCTCCTGCTTCTCCGGCTCGCGCTGCAGCTGGTTCTGGGTGAGAAACAGCACGTGCTGCGCCTCCTGCTCCATGCGCCGCACGAACGCCGCCTCCGGCTCCTGTTTGTGCCGCTTGAACTTGGGCACCGGGATGTCGTCCTGGGCCGCCGGCTTCGGCTTCCTCTCTACGGGGCACAGGGAGAGGCGATGCCCACGCTGCCCCCCCGGAGGCAGGGCCAAGGCGGAGACCCGGGACCCCCCCCCCCCGTTCCCGAGGCTCCTGGAGAAGGGGGGGGGGGACAACCGCCTGGCTCCGATCCATTCCAGAGATGGGGGGCACCGGGCTGCGGGTCCCGGCCCTGTTACCTGCCCGCCGCCGCCTCCTGCCCTGC